AGCATTTAGTATATGAACATATTTATCTCGCTCTAGAAAACCTTATTAATGATTCATATGTCTGATTAGATCAGTCCCTGTGCTTTTACTGTTTAGACCATTTTGTAATGTTGAGCTTTATAAACTATTCCTTTTAAAGATATTCACGGTTTTAATTTATAAAAAAACAAAACGACAGATTATCATTAAGAAGAGTTTTCTAGGTCATAGCATTTAGAATATGTGTATATATATGGTAAGGAAAGTAATATAGTTTAGAACCGAAAAATAAGGAGGGTTTGTTTTTTTTTTGGGTTATATAAATCAATGCCAAGTCATAATTTTGACACAACCACTGTTGTTATAGAACATGAATATTTGGGTCTTCATACAGTTTAGCACATAACAATTTTCTGAACTATTTTGTTTATGATTAAATCTTTCAGCTTTTTTTATGGATAGACAGAGTAATTTGAATTCTAACTGTACTCAAATATGAATACTTGCCAAGATCTTTGACTTGACAAAGCTATGATTAAGAACAAACTCAGATGACATTTCATTTGATTTCTTTTTCTGTATATGTACATTAATGATTAAGTGAGTAGTCATTAAAATATGTGATAGAGTTTTTAAGAAATTGAAAATGTATAGTTTTTTTAATAGTCTCTAGCAAATCAAACATTTGATTGGTTTCATATATGTATGCCATTTGTTTTATCTTGTATTTTATATTGGTTGATATGTACATATATGTTATTGAGACTTAAATAAATAAATAAATAAAAATAAATAAATATAAAGATTTTTGACAAATAACCTGACAGGAATATTTATAACGAATTTATAATACAGCAAATTTTCTTTTTTGAGAAAAAAGTGAGATTTCTTAGAAAATTGACAGAAGCCGTGTATATAACTAGTTATAAAGATTGTTGACAGTTATATGGCCCTATATAAACGGTTGTTTGTAAATATAACCCGAGCCGGCAGGCGAGAGTTATATTGCAAACAACCGTTTATATTCGGCCATATAACCTATCAAGGATATTTATAACGAATTTATAATACTGCAAACATCCTTTTTAGTGAAAAGGGTGTGATATCTTTATAAATTGACAGTAGCCGTGTATATAAAACTATATAAACGTCAAGATTATCCAATAAAAAGTGATGTTACAAACGTGCAGTATAATAAAAAAAACTTGATAATACTTCAAGTTTCCAACCACACTTTTCATGGGATAATCGTGACGTTTATATTATTAGTTATAAAGATCGTTGCCAGGTTATATGGGCCAATATAAACGGTTATTTGTAAATATAACTCGAGCCGTTAGGCGAGGGTTATATTATAAACAGCCGTTTATATACGGCCATATAACCTGTCAACAATCTTTATAACAAATTTATAATACAGCAAGCATTATTTTTAGAGAAAAAAAGTAAGATTTCGTCATGAATCGACAACAGCCGTGTATATAAAACTATATAAACGTCACGATTATCCAATGAAAAATGACGTTACAAACTTGCAGTATTATCAAGTTTTTTTATAATACTGCAAGTTTGTAACATCGCTTTTCATTGGATAATCGTGACGTTTATATAGTTTTATATACACGGCTGCTCTGAATTCATGAAGAAATCTCACTTTTCTCTAATGAAAAAGAAGTTTGCAGTATTATAAATTCGTTATAAATATTCCTGACAGGTTATATGGCCATATATAAACGGTTGTTTGCAATATAACCCTCGCCTAGTGGCTCGTGCTATATTTACAACCAGCCGTTCATATAGGGCCATATAACCTGTCAGCAATCTTTATAACTAATAATATACACGGCTGCTGTCAATTTTCTTAAAAATCTCATTTTTTCTCAAATAATGACGTTTTCTGTATTATGAATTCGTTATAAATATTCCTGACAGGTTATATGAAAGGTTATTTTCAATTTTACCCTCGCCTAACAGTTTGGGTCATATTTCCCAACAGCCATTATATTTATATATAATCTGTCAAAATCATTATAACTAATAATGTAAACGCCACGATTATCTAATAAAAAATGACGGTACAAATGTGAAGTATTATAAGTAAAATGATACATGATTGTAAATTTGCAAAATAAAATATGTTCAAACTAACATGTGCTGCTGCTATTGGTATTTGTGTTAATCTTTATTTTATTGATGGTTTATTTATATTCATCTTTTTTCCTAGATTTATTGTTTCTAATGCTTTAAATAAGTTGATAATACACTCTGTCTGATAATAATTCTCTTATTCTTATTATATATAATTATATACAATCATGTGTCGGTGTCCAATGTTATCCGAACAGCACGATTCAAAATGTCACATAAATCAAGCTTAATTACTTTTACCGATCGGGGTACAATATTAAAACTACTTCTAATATATACTTTAAATTTTTGGCCATTTGCATTGTACAGAATGTGGACTCTTCTGTTTTGAAGTAACTGAAAGTGTTTGTATTGTGAAGTAACAATACCCTTATTGTTAGATCTGAGAAAATCTTTGCTGACAAATAATATAAATTTTTGGAATTAAACATGTAGATATTGTGAAGTATTTCTACAGTATTAAAATGAACGATATTACCTTCCTACACTCCTGTCCGATATAGATTACCACTCCAGGAGCCTCCACATTTTTGACTCGTATTACCTACACAAGTCATGTTGCATCTGGACTCTGGTATCTTCTCAGTGATGGCGAAATTTACATTTGCACCGCACCAGCATTCGTTGGCATACTAAAATATCGAGGAATGAATTGTAAGATGGAGAAATGTTGAACAATTATTCGTCTTTGTAATTGAAAAGATTTTTTAATATAGACATCTGTAAGAAAAGGAATAAACTTACATTAAAAAGTTCAAATCTTACATAAAATGTATCAGACGCTCCTGTTAGCCACCCAAATTTCAGCATTTTAGCGAGGTTTTTTTCACCATTCTAAAATAGTTTCAGTTATATTAAAAAGGTCAATAAATGATTAGTTTTTGCAAACAACACTTTTATCCACGTACAATCTTAATAACCATGAACTGGTCAAACTAAGCAAACATAGCCCTTACTGCGTCAGTAACGCAGTAGAAATATTGAGATTTATACTGAGGAATCATTACTTAATCGCACATAACATATAAATTACTACTTGGATCTAAAATCCTTTTACTTTAAACAAAATATTTGGTACATTTTTCTAAAGTTTAATTTTCTTGAAATATTTTGACTCATCTGGAGGAATGCAGCTCTAATAAGAACAACATTGTTGAATCTGATAACGATAAATTTATTGGTTGAAATGTTACCGTTATGAAGTTGAAAGGCTGAATTTGCAAATGCTTATTGAATTGCGTCCGAAATTAATGTATAAACACTTTAAACAGGGTTTGTTAACATAAATATCAAAACGCTTTCACTACAAAGGCACGAAATCAAATAAATAAGAAACTCGATAAGACCTACAATTTATTTCATTTAATAGAAATGATTTTGAAATAATATGAATCTCAACATTTCTTTTAAGGTACAATGTAATGTAAGGATATATCTAAAGTCCTTTAATCTGCATTTTGATAAAATTTCAAATTGAATTTCATTTCACAAACATAACTTACTTCAGTCATTGAAAAGGGTAAGCCCTTGTTTCGACAAAGGGCGAGACAGTTTTCTGTTGATTGACTTGGAGAATAGTTATAATCAGCCAGAATCCTAGGTTTGTCGTTATAGCAACCGATGTATTGATCTAAATCCATCCGAAAATATAACAATGATTTGCCATCAATTTAGTACTATAGAAAATGGTACTGCATTTTACATAGACTGAAGAAGACAATGAACATAGAGGCAAAAACAGAAAATTTAAACTTTTAAGAGAGATTTCTTTAACTTTGCATAATTCAAATAAATAGATAAATAAAATAAAGAAAAACTGGCCGCCATTTTCTTACAATTCTTTTGCCCTGATCCGGTAAATTATTTGATTTAAAATCTTTTTCAATCATTTCATTACAATTCGGGAAACAATTCTATCAAGAAAATACTTTCAATGCATTAATGAGTAAACAAGCATACTGCATTTTGTTTTTTGAATAATCGACATTACCTGAGGAAGCGCTATTAAAGCAAATATAGAACAAATTATGTCGCATAAAATTTTAAACCATGCAACAGAATAAAGTTACAATACGAATTTGAAATAAAATTGCATGTTGCTTTTCACGGTTGTGTTTTATCCACTCTTGTGAATGAACTATAAGAGCAAATAAACACAATTTCAACACTTTCACGGTAGATAACTCACAAATAAACACACATTCACGTTAAATAACTCACAAATAAACACATGATAGATATCTCAAAACTTACGTAAGAATATGGATTCATTAATTTGTTTCAATATTTTTTTTAACTTTGCAACATTAAAAAAATCTGTGTACTGGTTTAATTTTCTTTCTTTGCCTTTGTTTACAATGACATTATTTTAGTAAACATTTTTTAGCTAGCACAAAACTTTTTTTCAACAAAAGAAAAATTAATGTCATTGGTGACATTTTTGTGTCTATCACATTCAGCGAATTCCTTATTCGTGAAATTATTTAATCAAACATTTTAACGCTAACATTACAAATAGTCAATATCTTAGGGGATTTTTAATTTTAAATAGAAAACGAATTTCACAAAGTTTTAAACAAATGGGATAATAAATATTATTCTTGACTTCAAGGACAGGGTAGTGAAATAAAGCATTTTTGCAACAATTAAAAACAATACCTTTCTTTCCTTCTTCTATAACTGAGACAAAAAAATCTAAAACAAGATTACTTACATCCACGTTTTTTGTAGAATACCGAATTGCTCTGTAAAAGATCAGCTACTCCGGTGAAGGAAGTACAGCCCGTACAATTGCCGGTATCAGGATAGTATATGATGCTAGAACAAGTAAGGTCCATCCAACATCTGTGTGCACATGCTGATTTAGATCTACTGCTTGCCATCTTAAAGGATATGTTCTCATCCAAACATTTGTATCCTTTCAAGTAATCAGCCAAATAAAACTTGAAATTGCCTTCAGATCTGTGTAGAAAAGAATGAAAAATTAAGAACAGATATATCAGAATATAACTATACCCCATTGTCTTTCTTTAATTCTTAAACTTTGAACAAGCTCCAATGGTTAGCAAACGGGACTGCTAACTGTTTCTAACAGGGACTGTTAGAAATCAATATGCACAAACTTTAGATTTGAATTATTCATTATGACATTTGGCGTGTTAGCAAACAAATCGCAACTCTTCTTTTAACATTCTTTATTTACATTTATAAACTATTTCCATGTTCATATTATAAAAAATTTACCCAATGCCAGCACAATGTTACAAAATATTGGCTGAATTGAATGAATGACTTTGGTACAAAGCTTGTACGAGGATTGATACTAAGTGGGCTCACGTTTGTAGTTTTTAAGAAATATAATTGAAATATGACAAAATTTAACATGCCGATACCTTATTACATGTACTAATATCCAAATTTTGAACATTGTTTTGGCATATATTATATGGATGATGCGACCCACATAAAAAATATAAAGTGAACATTATGTGAACGAACAGCTTTAATAGTGAATACCTATTAGTAACGATTTAACGATGGTTATACGTTTATAATTTGTTAATGAATATCAACACATGGTAAACTGAAAAACGTGGGTAATGATATTGATGGCCCTAGAACGATTACCTGTCAATAGGAAATGCAATCTTCCTCAATACAGATGTAAATCATTTGGTCAAGGTTGTTTTAAGGGATTTTTTTTTAAAGTTTTCGTAAGCCTAAAGGTATCATAACTAAGTGATCGCAGAGCATAGCCATTTTGTTTTCAGTTAGATAGTGTAGATACACATTTAAAACGTTCCCGGAACCAACCAGTACTAAGCGATGAAAGATAAGTGTTATGTTTCAGGAAGCAACGGCCCGTCTCTTGCGGGCTTTTGATATCACACTGCCGGCCGACATTCTTTGATTTTTTTTTATAAACTAGCATTATATACTATTAGTGTCAGAATGTACAGTGACTATACCGTCAGCATTATAGAAGAGTCAGTAAATAATTTGTAACAGTAAGCACAGGGCTGGGAATCAAAACTGCGTCGTATCCTACAAAATGTAAACAAACACAACCATCTTGGAACGAAATAGGTATGTTTTGTTTATGACTCTTTTTGTTGGAAATGACTGAAAACTAGATATATGTATTAACACGCTCCACTATTTTCCGCTTCGTTCGGTACATGTTGATTTCACAACTATTTTGTCAAATAAAAGTGATAGCTAACTTGCAACTCGAAGCGGGCCAGAATTTATATGGAGCTTGGTGGATACGACACAGTTCATATTGCTTTATCCGCTGTTTTAATATTCAAATCAAATATATACTTGTTTCAGAATTAACCATAAATTTCAAAATATAATTTTACATCATTTACTAAAATTTCATTAAAAAGACATGTTTGATATTTTTAAAGACAATAATGATTTGTATGAAAAGATTCGACGCAATTGGTAAGAAAATATGATACGACGCAGTTGATTTTTTTGGCAGTCTTTACAACAGGAATATTTTTGCAATATAAGTCATTTACCGAATAATCACCTGCGATTGATAAAAAAAACCTTACCATTCACGGTTTATAGCAATGTTCTGTTGCTTTAAAATATTTAGAATATGTTGTTTCATTTCCAATAAAAAAATAATTTGAAAGTTTATATTGTAGAAGCTACGTTTCAGATAAGCATGAACATGTTAATTAATTATAATAATATCTTAATTAATTTCTTATATTAAATGTTATCACAATATGTTTTTGGATGAATATAGAAGTTTATGACCTGTAGTCACAAAATTCATTCTGGTTTGGCAAAATGTTGCACCTGCAGAGAACCATCGACATTCGAAGCTAGCTCGATCTGCTTTCCACAATGAAGAATCAAAAGTGAAAACTGCGGCGTGTGTTTACGTTTTGTAAGATACGACGCAGTTTTGATTCCCAGCCCTGAAACAGGTAACCTAAATAACGTTCCATGAGGAAATAATTGATGCATTTGACGCAGTTGTTCCTAAATATAGATGACAATATCTCTCAAAAGTCTACCCATTAGAAGTACAATGTGTAAATTTTGACCTTAAATGTAATCGCTTACGCTAAACAATAGAATACTCAGTATTTCGAATGCCTACGTTTTATTAAACTCAAATGATGAGATATTATTTTCATTGCCTTCACATCTTTACATAATTATTATCTTAAAGGCACGTTTTGCCTCAGCAATTTATAATATTTTCCATCTGTGAAAGGGAAAATCTATGTATAATATTATGTTTATAATGTTAGATTGGTCATTCTTTGAAACGTGGGAATTTTTTGAAACGTTACGACTTGTAACATGTATTTATTGATTGAACCGAAGATGTAGTGTTATACGGTGATGTGGTGTCGTCTATGGGCAGACTGTACTGCATTTTCAATTTTTTTCCGTTTGGGATCTTCTTTAGGGTTTCTATTTTGATATATCGCCACGTCATCGTTGCCGTGTGGAGGCCGTAAAATGTCGTATATACAATCAGAGATGTTTTAAATCCGATGCTCGATTGTCCAGGACGACATTATTGATGTTGTGTTTGTTGTAATTTCAGTAATATCTATTTTGCTTTTCTAATTGAACAGTTATACTAGTACTTCTCCTTACTTGAAAACAGTTTAATCATCCTTAGGATATGCTACTTGCTTTTTAAATTTGTTTTTAAAGCTTGTCTGTAAAAACAAGGCTACATTACCTCTGATGTCATTTTCTTTTTCATTTAGTTTCGCCAATGGTTTTCTCGTTTAGGGCACACTTATTTTTTAACTTCGGAGCCAAGCGCCGCTTTAAATGGAACACCACTTACATGCATAATTATGTCAATTTTTAAGTTCCATGATAACCGCCGCATGAATACATCTGCAGATGTTTGCGAATTCAAAATTTTACAGTTATTTGTCAAATTATTGAATTCTCCTTGGGCGGGTGCTGGGGACTTGGATTTGCACTTTTCATTGCTGTCCATGGGCGGGTTTCATCGAGCCGAGGTTGCAACATTTCAAATTTGCCGGAACGGTTATCTATTTTTTCTATTTGTTTTAACTAGCTTTACCCGTTCACGTTGAACAAAAGTTTTAAGTCTTTCTGAAAGCGTTTTATCTGTAGCAATCTTTGCTACACACATATAAAGAACAAGATGCTTTGATTTTTAAGGATACAAAGCATCCAGTCGCCTAGGCATTGTACAGGTACAGTCACCTGTCTAGCATGGTAGACACATCGTCCTTTTAGTACATTTTGGTTGACTGTCATGCCAATATTTAGAAAAAAAAACAAGTGTAACTTAAAACTGCTGAAAAGCAGTTATCAAGAACTAGGTCTAATTCGAGACATATACACGACTTTACACAAATGCGGACTTAAACTCGAACTGGAGAAATATGCAGAACAGTAAGGTCTTGATTGAAGAACAATTATCAAATCTACTAATCTCGTGCTATTAAAACGTCATTATGTCAAATGAGAGTGTTAAGTGTAAATTATATAAACCATTTTATTATACCCCCGCACAACAAAGTTGTAAGGGGGGTACCCCGCACAACAAAGTTGTAAGGGGGGTATACTGGAATCAGCTTGTCCGTCCGGCCGTCCGTCCGTCGGTTTTTTCTTGTCCGCCCAATAACTTAAGATTCCTTTGACCCTTAGTCTTCATATTTGGTATGAAGGTTAGTCATGATTAGTAGATGACCCCTATTGATTTTGAGGTCACTATGTCAAAGGTCAAGGTCACAGGGGCCTTGACTTCAAAAAGCTTGTCCGCCCTATAACTTAAGATTCCTTTGACCTACAGTCTTCATATTTGGCATGGAGGTTAGTCATGATTAGTAGATGACCCTTATTGATTTTGAGGTCACTATGTCAAAGGTCAAGGTCACAGGGGCCTTGACTTCAAAAAGCTTGTCCGTCATATAACTTTAGATTCCTTTGACCTACAGTCTTCATATTTGGCATGGAGGTTAGTCATGATTAGTAGATGAACCCTATTGATTTTGAAGTCACCAGGTCAAAGGTCAAGGTCACAGGGGCCTTGACTTCAAAAAGCTTGTCCGCCCAATAACTTAAGATTCCTTTGACCCACAGTCTTCATATTTAACATTGAGGTTACTCATGATTAGTAGATGACTCCTATTGATTTTTAGGTCACTATGTCAAAGGTCAAGGTCACAGGGGCCTTGACTTTAAAAAGCTTGTCCGCCCAATAACTTAAGATTCCTTTGACCAATAGTCTTCATATTTGGCATTGAGGTACGTCATGATTAGTAGATGACCCCTATTGATTTTGAGGTCACCAGGTCAAAGGTCAAGGTCACAGGGGCCTTGACTTCAAAAAGCTTGTCCGCCCAATAACATAAGATTCCTTTCACCCACAGTCTTCATATTTGGCATGGAGGTTAGTCATGATTAGTAGATAACCCTAATGATTTTGAGGTCACCAGGTCAAAGGTCAAGGTCACAGGGGCCTTGACTTCAAAAAGCTTGTCCGCCCAATAACTTAAGATTCCTTTGACCCATAGTCTTCATATTTGGCATGGAGGTTAGTCATGATTAGTAGATGACCCCTAATGATTTTGAGGTCACCAGGTCAAAGGTCAAGGTCACAGGGGCCTTGACTTCAAAAAGCTTGTCCGCCCAATAACTTAAGATTCCTTTCACCCACAGTCTTCATATTTGGCATGGAGGTTAGTCATGATTAGTAGATGACCCCTATTGATTTTGAGGTCACCAGGTCAAAGGTCAAGGTCACAGGGGCCTTGACTTCAAAAAGCTTGTCCGCCCAATAACTTAAGATTCCTTTGACCCATAGTCTTCATATTTGGCATGGAGGTTAGTCATGATTAGTAGATGACCCCTATTGATTTTGAGGTCACCAGGTCAAAGGTCAAGGTCACAGGGGCCTTGACTTCAAAAAGCTTGTCCGCCTAATAACTTAAGATTCCTTTGACCCACAGTCTTCATATTTGGAATTGAGGTTAGTCATGATTAGTAGATGACCCCTATTGATTTTGAGGTCACCAGGTAAAAGGTCAAGGTCACAGGGACTTTGACTTCAAAAAGTTTGTCTGCCCAATAACTTTAGATTCCTTTGGCCCACAGTCTTCATATTTGGCATGGATGTTGATCATGACTGTAAGGTGACCCATATTGATTTTGAGGTCACTTTGTAAAAGGGCAAGGTCGCAGGGACATTGACAAAAAAGCTTTTCTTCTCAATTCCTAAAGAATGTCCTGTCCACAATGTATTGATTTTGACATTTCCACATTTAAAGCATGTAGAATGCATAACTTAGCAATGCACTGGCTTAGTAACCTCAGATTCGGCAGCTTGAGCACTAAATTCCACTGTTGATTCTGACAAAGTGGTATTCGGGGGTATTCACGCCATGATAGTGGCAGTTCTAGTTTCATTCTACAAAAGATAATTAATCACTATGAGTTTTAGACGACATAATCATCAAGAGTTATGTCTCTATTGTTATTCTTTAGTGTGTAAATTTCTTTACTCTTTACTTCAATGTGAAAACTGATTGAATCTTATAATGACGTTGTTGCTCATGGTTTCATCTTTTCAGTCAGAAATACAACAGAATGTTTGGAATTATATCATTGCTGACACCAAATATACTTGTTTGTCAGACTTATGTACTAAAAACCTAGAAATATTCAACTTAATACTAACGTAATCGTTATATTCGGTGATGTCAAACATTCTTGTTTTTTACAATCTGACACCATCCTGTCTCTTGCTTAAACTTAACATACTAGTAGATAAGCCACAATGGTTATATATCCGAAAATGACAATTGCCGCTGATGGGTTGCCTGTTAGGGTTGAGGAATCAGATTTTAGCCACCTTTCATCCATGTGTGATCATAAGGGGCGACTACATTGGTTCGAGTTTCTTGAGTCAATGCATCTCTTAGCTCCCGCAGGTGAGCTGGTTTTGACACCTGATTTTGCTTTTAGTTCGTAACACACGAGGTTAGCCAAAGTCATCTTTCCTGTTTCGGCGAACCATGACCTATATTGTGTTGGTATGCCGTAATAACAATCTAAACAACACACAAAACGGAAAGGCAATGTAAATAACATACATTCTTTTTTAGAATTTTATAGTAGTCTATAGTCATTTGTTCGGTTTGTTGCTGACATTGCATGCCATTATATCATTATGTTTGTATGTTGTTGTGTTTCATTTTAAGATGCTCATCAGTTAGCAACTATATGATATATTCTGTTAAACCTTAGTTCAAAATTGACAATTACTACATGAGTACTTTCCCTAAACATGATCCGACATTTCCCATTTTTTCTTCATAATGGAACAGAACAGAGCTGTAGAAATGGCAATTAATGACCATAGATTTATCATTACAGGGTCATGTTGTGCAGGAATTGTTAGTTTCAGGATGACAAATATGACTTCAAATAATTTATTATATCTTGGTGTAGTTTAAGCAGATATTTTTATTTATACACAACGGAAAGGCACACTTGGTCTCAGATTTGTCTAGCACAACAACAGACGACTTTCTCAAAGAATGACGTCATACCAGCACTTAAATTAGTTTCTTTCAATTCCTCCATTGAATAATTTTGGTGTGTTTAGCAAAACATTTTATGTTTTTTTTTTCTTTAATAGTACATGTACATTCCCTGTATACTAACCTAGTGATGAAAAAGCAGACGATCTATTTCTCAATAAATGACGTCATTTCCGTTGCATTGTAATAAAACACAATCACTTTTATGCAAATCTTTGTGTATTTTACAACATGAAAATTATATTCTAGATATGCAACAATTCTCAACATGTCAGGTATCCAATAAAATTGATATAAATCTAAATTTGAGATTTTGTTGATACTTTTTGCTACAAAATAAAACAAGCCCCGTATAGTTATATATTATACGAGGGCTGTCCGGAAAGTTCGTAGACAAGGCTATAAAATTATTATAAGCAGTCATATCAATATGATGATTTAAAACTTTGCTAAAGTATTTATCTGCTACAAATTTCTAAATTAAAAAACACGATAAAAGTAATACATGTATACGCAAAGCACCAATCACCATGGCAACATGATCAATGAATTACGGAGCACTTTGATTTCTGGACGATAGCTACACAAATAATAATAAGTTGCTAAAAGTTGTAATTGTAACGCAAACTCTCGTTTTAATTTTGTGACATCAAAGGATACTATTACATGATATTTAGTGAAAATAATGACGTCATACGCAAATAAACAGCTTGTTAACAACAGTGATAGGCAATGAAGGTGTGTAAATTTTGTGTTGCAAAAGTGACGTCAAATTCAAGGACGGAGCAACGTAATGTTATTTAACTTCATAGCAACGCTAATATGTCACCGACTGATATTTTAATCTTTACTTTAAAACAAAATCAACAATAAATTATAAAAAGTAACTTGTCTTTTAATGTCAAACAAGATTAAAAAAACGGTGATGACAGTATATCGTATAAGAAACGCTTCAGACGACAAAAAGTAGCATAGCCGAAATATCGTCGACTGTGTAACAACAATCTTTGAAAAAGACAGACATCTCACACACTGTATGGGAACCAGTGACATCTTTGTTTTAGGATAGATTATAGTATATGAAATTCATAAAGTAATGGCAAAGAAATATAACATGTATTAAGTATACGCCAGACAGGTACCATGGCTGTTGGAATCGGAAGAAACTGAATAGTTGGAAAACGTGAAGTTAATTTGACACCGTTGACGTTGTCAAAGTGCTCCGTGATGATGTATATATGTTGTATGTAAATACGGTTAAAATACAAACGTAAGTCACAGTTCAGTAATGTTTGATAAACGTGTTCGCTAGATATGTATAATTTTGCTGACAAAATGTGTACAACGTATGTATTGTTATAGAATAAAAAATGAAGAAGTATATGAACTTTCCGGACACCCTTCGTAGTATAATAATTAAATTAAATTTAATACCGATTTATAAATAATGTTTAAAGCAGCATGCCTCCAGATTCATGCTAATTTTCATGAAAATTTTGTAATGTATTTGAAAGTGTAATACTGTGAAGTGACCAAAAGGAAGCAATTTACACATTATCAATGGCACTTACAAACCTCGTCAATTACCAAAAAGTGGTAAAAATATGCATAACCTGCCTTAACTGCATTAGAAACTCAGTAGAAATAAAGTTGTAAATACTGTAAAATCAACCAATAATCGCACAAAATGTTTAAAATACTACTTGAATCTTGAAACTTTTTACTTTTTCTTACATCTTAGTACATTTTTCTCAAGTTTGATTTTATTGAAATATTTTGAAGGCATGCAGCTTTAAAGCAACAATTACAAGTCCTTATGAATGTCATATCTTTATTAAGTTTTAAAGTACATATTCAACAAGCTTGTCGTGGCAGACTGAAGGTTTTGGTTAAACTCTTGGTTAAAGTATCCACTATATGCAGCATTGTGTACTTGTAATATGATCGAAAATAAATCAAGACTACATATTGTAAAACATAGTTAACAGCACGTAAGTCTGAAATATATAACAGACTGACACTCCCTTTAAATGACAATAGACGGACGTCTTCTTCAAAATGTTATTCATTGCTTTTTGTGAATTGATAATATGTGATTTCAGAACGTCCTCACTGCAATTTTGCTACTTCTGGGCAGATTCTTAACTTTGTCGAGTGATAGATATTCCTTGACTTTTGGTAGAGATTCAAACCTTTCAAGGAAACTCTGTAGCTTCGGGAAGGCATTCAAACAATCAGACTGCAACCGTCGAAGAAAATCAAGAAGATCATACATCGAAAAATCAGCAGCTGTTATCTAAAATAATTGAACATCAATTTTGTTTTAAAAGAAACATATACGTAATCTTGATTTGTACAGTAGCATAGACACATTAGATTTTAAAGTAACATTATGCCCATCATAGGTGCAGTTTTTATATTCTATCCTAAACATTGTTACTATGATTATTTGTCAATGACCATTTTAACAGTCAAACTGAAGTTTTTTGAAATATATAAGTAGTTTTGCACGACTTTACAACGCAAAATTAGCATAATGTCACTTTTAATACAATCATTATAATAAGACATGGAAAAGTTGTCGCTGTGAATAATGACAAAGAATAAGTTTCGTTATAAATAAGCAAACAAAATAAATGAATAAAAACATTACTCGTTAAAAATGATAAAAATAGACAAAGAATAGTTCTCATCATGAATATACAAAGGATAATTCTCGTTATAAATAAAACAAAGAATAATTTTAGTTATAAATAAATAAGAAATAATTTTTGTTATAAATAAAACAAATAATAATTATAGTTATACATGTTAATAAACAAGGGAATAATTATACTTATAAATACAACAAAGAATAATTTTAGTAATAAAAATGAAAAGAGTGAAAGAAAAAACAAGAAATAATGTTTGTTCTAAATTAACATGGACACATCGTCGTTGTAAGCTATGATTTATTTATATTTACGTTGTAAAAAAACAAGCACTAAATCTCGTTATAAATAACCAATTACCAATTACTGAATATGAAAAAGTTTGTCAAACAGTCCATTATAAATGTTAGGGATACCTCGATGGATAGTTAGAAGTTGATCAGTCAACAGTATATAGTACGGACTTTCAGGCTGGTCTGGTTTAATACTTATGGTCAAAGATTTACAGATTCAGCATGGTTAAGTTTGATAAAGATAAACTTACAGCGTCCATAGCAAACCAGTCATTTACACCTAGATGATTCTCAAACTGTTTTAGTTTTGGCGGGAGATTCTTAAAGAAATCTGGTTTCAACTTCTCCTAGGGAATGAAAAAATAGAATAAAACAAAACTTATTAGTGTAAAGATCAAGTAACGTTCATGAAACCCAATGCCCTTCTTATTACACTGGGAATACAAAATGATATTCATCTTCAATATCTTAAGTGTAACAAAATAATTAATATCTTTCACTGCGTGGTACTCTGTTTTGCCCATTCTTACTTATATGCAGACATTCTAATTTTTGTAATGTAAAATCTGAACACCAAGGTAATGTATCGAATTGAATTATACGTGTTTTTTAACAACATAGATTAACTTCTACTATTATATTGATATTTTCTAATAATTTGATGCAGTAACAATATCTTCCCACTTACGTAGTTTTCAACACTTGTATACGTTATTTTGTAGATATTATTCCTGAGATCCATTGCCTCCTCTATAATCATATCTACAACTGCCTTTTCCTTCTCCGTCTCACCATCCAACTTATATTTCCGGGCTACGTGTCTTACAATTGCGTGACTTTGGGAAATTTTAACATCGCCATCTATGTAATACGGAAGCTGAAAAATATAGTTCAAGTTTTTCATTTTTTGTATGACAACATGTATTTTTCATTATTATACTAAAATTAATAGACTTTTTTTCTTTACTGATAGAATTCTGATGCTTTCTTTTCGTCCTGCATGCAACGTACAGTGCACCTGAAATAACACATGTCGAAACTTAGAATATGATTTTGCTCACCGATGTCATCTCGAACACATTGGCTACATGTATGTACTTCCACTAAAAATGTGAAATAAAAATCAGAGAAAATGCACGCTCTCTTGTGGTACAGATTTTTTGCAGTGTTTATTAAGCTATTTGTTTTCATATTTTACATTGCTTTTTTATATTCCATACTTGACTTGTTGAACAATACCGGCTTACCGCAAGCTAAGTGTGTACATAAGGGCCTCCGTGGCCGAGTGGTTAAAGTCGTTGACTTGAGATCACAGGTCCCTCACCACGTAGGTTAAAATAACCTCCACCAATAAAGCTGAAAAAAAATCGACGAAAAATCTCGGCGGGACGCACTAGGATGATCCGACTTGAGTGTACGGTCGCCCATATGGGCTTTTCAGCGGCGACCTTAAATAAACACATCAAATAAAAAAAGATGTGTACATTAGGGCCAAGCAGGACAACTTTCGTTTCATATTAACAATGAAATACCTTCACATACCAAACAGTCTTTTTCGAATTATAGAAAAGACCTGTCCATTACACACACACTTTCAAAACATAAAGTACTCGAATTAATCTGCAGAATTAATCAATCTTAATATTTACACAAGTACACTTACATTGGGAAAGGATAAAAATTCTCCAAACTTTGGTTTTACACTGTACCACGATTCTCTGCTAAAATCCGGCGCTGAAATTCAGGAAATATGTTAAATTCATTATTACAAAAATACAAATCAAGTGACTTTTTTAAACTTGAAAATTACAAAGTAGTATACATGTAGTATTTGTAAGTTAATTTAAAACATTAACATCAACATTTAAACTTATTGATACAAGAAGTACTTAGTGAAGTTTTAACTATTCGCATTTTCTATAATGCACGAAAATCGCTGTCAAAGAGTTTCAAACATATATTAATTTGGTTACTTTTGGATTTTGAAAGATTATGGTAGATTTGTTGCTATCAAGACTATATAGGATTTCAACAAACCGTTTTTAAGAATACGCCATGCACTCTCAAGGAAATATACAAACGTTATTATTTCAATTTACTACAGGCACCGGATATAGTTATATACCTTACATTAACCAAACTGCACAATGAAAAGTCAGAATTAAATCACTGATAATCGTAATATCATGTCATTAGATTACTGGCAATGTGTCAAAAGTCATCTAAAACTGTTTATATTATTAACAGAAATACACAAATTAACAAAAGAAAAAAATACCATCTTGATTGAAAAGGCACAAAAACCGTCTATCTCATTCAAAAACAATGCATATTTTTCGATAAGTCAAAGAACAATTTTACTTATTTTATTTAGGGTCATGGTAAAAAATACTTTTGTAAAAAGCTACAAATTGATGCTACATGCCAATATCAAAACTTTGGACTTTTTTAGTATAGCAGTAAATAATTTTAAGCTACATGTATGTTAATAAGTCTATTTATAAAGTGACCCCCGAAGGAAGGATCAATCCTTTCCAAGGGGTCAAGATTTATATCACTCTTGTAGAAGTCAACTAAGCAATGCTGCATGTCAAATATCATAACTCTGGGCATTGTAGTTTTATATATATATATAAAGTAAATGTGTGTCTTATATAAAGCCTATATACGGTAACTCAAGTAGAGCCCAATTTGATCTGAGAAAGTCCCAACCTGGGTTCTGCAGGTCGTCTCATAATAAGTAATAAAGTAATATTTCTGCCAAATAGTTTTATTTCCTTCCATCGGTTCAAAAGGCACAGAGATACACGACATTTTATAACGGATACGAAATGATCTTGACCTTGACCTGAGGCAGGTAAACCTGTGTTTTGCACATCTTCTCATTATGATTTAAATTTCTATCAAGTAGTTTCAATTTCTTTCCACCGGTTCAAATGTTTAAGACTGGACACGAAACATGCCTTCAGGCGAACAGACGGACGGACGATCAGGTGCATAACAAAAATGTACACTGTTTTTGTTGTTGTTATTTTATTGGGGGGGGGGGCGTATAAACAGTATAAAGATTGAAATAAAAACAGTTCGCCCCTAATGGGGTTTGGCTCTTCCAGGAGAATGACTGTCTTTGTACTATTTAAACTAAGGAAATATTAAGTAATAAAACTAGAACCAATTTCCAAGATATGGTGGCTGGGCTGCACCGCCTGACTTAAGACTGAAATATTCTCCTTGGAAAACAAGCGTGTAATTGTTTAGTTAACACTATTTTAAGGTTATATCATCCTTTTTTAATCTTAAATCCATTTGTATATTTACACCCAAAACAAAGAACTCTGATCATTTTTTTACCCAAAAAAAACACACACATCAACACTTGTACATAATATCTTATCATGTATACGACTTCTTTACGAAATACTACTAGACACTTGGCTAGCAATAAATACTCCACGGAATGAAGAATTCAAAATTAAGTATTTTATAATACAGATTCAATTTGGATACAGTAACAACAGACATTCAACAAACAATATTTACTTAACAAAATCTGATCAGCACCAGAAAAAACAACTTATTATAAACTCAAACACCCAATATTTGCAGATATCTTCAAAAACAAAGAATCAACTATGATAATATTGACAAGACAAAAGCACGTAATATCAACCAATATCAGCCAAATATATATTTCCAAACAGATATAACTCAACAAACAAATGTAATGCTACAACCAAAACAACTACATGTAATTACAAAGAATGAACCCTGATAAAATAAGATCATCACAATTAATTACAACAATTTTAACAAATCAACAAAACTCCTTTCAAATCAACTATATTCTCTTCTCTAAAACAAAAAAAAAAACGCTCAACAGTACAAATGGTATTGTTCAACAATATTAACCTGGCACTTCATAAACTTTCGTTATGGCAATTTGAACAAGCAATAATCATAGTATTGCAAGCAATCCATAAGTCCCCTAACGGTTAGAACCCTAGCAACATTCTGAAGGGCCATTCACTTATGTTTCTAATTTGTTAAAAAAGTTCTTTAAAAGTGATCACAGGAAACAGTTTTTTATGTACAGACAGACGGACTGAAGGACACTCAAAAGTTATTTCTTAAAGCATCCCTGTTATCAAAATATAACATTTTTAAAAGCGAAATTCTTAAAAAGGAAATAACTCTTGAAATAAAGATGCAATACGTCATACATGATGTGAGTGTAACAAAGAACAATAAGTAATGAAGGTGTTCATAATGAATGTTGTTTTTTTTTAATTTGAAGTAAAAGAAAGTGAAAAGAATGAATGAGAAAAATTCAAAGTTTAAAGAGGAGATAATTCTGGAAATATGGATGCTAGATTTATAAACCTTGTCATATAATTATGATGTGGGAGTTTGAAGAAAATCCTATAATAATCGAAAAAGTTGGAATTTCTCGAAAAAAAGTGTAAGTTCAAAAGGGGCATAATTCTGGAAATAGTCTTGCTAGAGTATGAACTTTTTCACAAATGTTGAGTGATAATAAGAAACATAGATATGAAGTTTGAAGTAGATGCATTCAGAAAAAAAGAAGTTATTAAAAAAAATATTTTTTCTAAGTTCAAGGGAGGAAATTCTGATGAATTTATGCTAGAGTTGAAAACCTTGTCACATATGATGTGGTTGATGACCAGAAACTTTTATTTAAAGTTTGAAGAAAATATCTTAAGAAATAAAGAACTTATAGTGAAAAAACGTTAAAACTAGAATAAGAAATCTTTCAATTCAGTATATTTGTTGCCATAGCAACCAGAATTTTCAATATAGGAAGAAAAAAAAGAATGTGCATAATCTCCAAACTGCCATCTTCTCATATTTGAAGTTTCATAAAAATATTTTCAGTACTTTATATGTGTTATCACTGGATCCAGGTTTTGTGTACAATTTGCCATATTTTCAGTCTATTTGTTGCCATAGTAACCAGGATTTTCAACGTAGGAAGAAAAAAAAAAGAATGTGCGTAATCCCTATACTGCCATCTACCCATATGTCAAGTTTCTTAAAAATATTTTCAGCACTTTTTGCGTTATCACTGGATCCAGGTTATGTGTAAAAGTTGCCATATTTTCAGTTTATTTGTTGCCATAGCAACCAGAATTTTCAACATAGGAAGAAAAGAAAAAGACGTGCATAATCTCCATACTGCCATATATCCATATATCAAGTTTCCATATGCAATCGTATACGCAAAATTTTTTCAGTACTTTTTACGTTATCGTGGGATCCAGTTTTGTGGACTGACGGACTGACTGACGGACGGACAGACGGACGGACAGACGGACGGAGGGTAAACCTAAAGTACCCTCCGGTAAACCTGTAGGGGACTAATAAGTGCTAACCATTACCTATCGAATATATCGATATTTTGCTAGCTTCAATCGGCAGTGAGGTGTGGTGTATTGACTCTTCGATTCTTTACCGACACCATGTTATAATATTTTTAAAATAACTTGGAAGAATTAATTTCAAATCGTTTTACTACACCTGGTTTTAGAATATATTTTAAAATGTGGAATTATACACAATTATATTGTTTATATCCTTACAGTATCTTTCAACGGTTCACTTTGTGACTTTTATGCAATCGTATACGCTTTAGCGTATAATCGTTATAAAGGCAGCTATAAGAAATACAACATGGACAGTACACACAACACACATGTTTGCAATAGTTTTAAGAAAAAGGCAATTTTAAATTGAAGTACCAGGACAATCGCCAAGCGAAATAACCACTATGATGAGAATAATCCGATTTGGAGTGACCATTTTTTTATTAAGGTCGTACCGTACTCGATCAGATCGCAAAAAAATATATTGTTGTGTGCAACTTAATGCAAACAAATAGTCATATCTTGCTGTAAAAAAACTAAGATAAAGTTTAGAAACAATTTAAAAAGTTTCTCCTTTGTCAAATGCTTACATCGGTTACCGGTTATTGAACTGGCTAAAAACCGAACGGATTAATGTGACACCACTTACTACAATTCCCTAAACTGATGTAAACTTCTCCCAATACTCGCACAGGTTTATTTACACTTCATCTCAATGTATCACTGTTGTCCTTGTATACACAACAATGCGAGTATCATATTTAATGTAGACACCTTACTTTAATAATTCTTAATAATAAATAAGGTGACATCCTTGCGAGCAAATTAGAACACGTTCTATTTTTCTTCAAGATTTTATCGGTCAAGACACTGATAACACCGGTTTAATATAAAGCATGTGTCCCGAAGGTGTGACAGTGTTGTCATTTTTATTTTTTACATGACCAGTGAATTTTCAGTTTATGTTTACAATGCCTTGGTCAAAAGCACAAACCGGTACGCTGATACACAGAAGAACAAAAAAGTACATTTTTTTCAAAAGTAAAATCAATACGGATTTTCAAATTTCAGTTACTGAAAAAAAAATCATCAAAAATCAATTAATAAGCTCAGATGTTTCATTTATATTAAATTGAATTCATTTATTAACTTCATTGTTTTAAGCTAATTGCATCATTATTCACACATTTTATATAAATATGATAGTCTTTAAGTATTAAAAGTAAGTATCTTTAAATGTATAAATTCTTGGCAATCTTAATAAAACATTTTACTAAAAAAAAAATAATGTGCCTGATTATATGTTGTATGGCCCCCAACTCTTAGTAAAACACATTATCTTCAGATAAACTGTAGGATTATTCTGACAGGCTCACACCCCATCCTTTCTGTCAATGAATACGCTTCAGAGAGAAGGTTATGCATTTAGACATCCGATACTTTACATAAGGCATCTATAACATTAAAACAATATTACCTAACTTGTTAAGAATATCAAATAGTATTTATAACAAATAGAGTTGTATAAAAATATCAGGTTAACAAATTCTAAGAACGAGATAACAATAATTCTTACGAGGCCCTTGTCCGTACTGTACATCTTCAAACTCTACCCCGGCATATGTTAAAAGCAATCGAATCGGCTGTGCTAACTGAAATCTTAAACATAAAGTAAAATGAATGTTACATACAGGTATGTAACAAAATATACGTACAGTTAAGTGAAACATTTTATAATTATGCTACTTTAGTAAAATGTCTACCAAGAAATAAATACTTACACCTTTATTTTTCCAATATCCAAGAGATGGCATTTCTGTTTGTCCTAAACCAATTCAAGCGTCTATTGAGCCGCTATGATAATTTGACAGTGACGTTGCATTTTTTGTGTACACAAAAGTTAACTATCTTAAAACGGGTTCAAACAGGTTAAACAGGTTTTTAGAAGCCAATGTAGTACAAGATGAATAATAGCAATTTAAATATCTTGATTGCAAAGTTTGACAGTAAGTAATGGTTACCGTACGAGGAATAGGTCTACATAGTATTTACATACCCAGGTGGCGATTTGAAGACCGAGTGAGCGTAGCGATCGAGGTTTTTAAAAGGCCACTGGGTCTGTAAATACTATGCAGACCTATTCCGCGTGCGGTAACTATCTTACCTACATGCTCTTTTGTTTTCCCATCCAAACATCATTTTATAACTCGGTATTTATCAATATAACTCACAAGAAACCTTTATCATGTATCAGAATGCATTCCAAAGCCATTCAAATATACCAACCGCTACGCTTTGTAATTCATTGTGTTATTTGAAAATTCTCGTTTTTTTCGTGGGGTTTCATTATGTAAAAAGGTCAGGTAAATGTACTTGTTGAGATGAGTCACAGAAAATGAAAACAGAACTTGCCGGGGTTCTGTTTCAAGTCATTGATATAAAGAGAGCAAAGGTAAGATCATTATATTGTTATACAGTGTAACTTCTTAAAACCGAACACCCATGGGACTTGTCAAAAAGTTCGGATTTCAGAGGTTTCCGGAATTCAGAGGTTTCGGATAATGTGGACAAGACTAAGCCACTAAATGTCAAGGAAAATGTGGCCATTACTGTAATATCATATATAATAGTCTTTTAATCAAGATAAAGATGTGAAGGAAAAGAAAACATTGATATTTTACACTTTATTTAACTTACACATTGTCCGATGCTAGTTAATTAATTAGTACATCAAATGCAATAAAATCCCTAAAGACGTTTGGTGCACAAATTGTCCCAATTAATTGCCATTTAATCCGCTAATAAACACTTCAAATTCACTGACCGCCGTAAATTACTTTAATTGACCGCATCACTTCAAACATATTACTTCACAGTTTGTGATTTTAACGCGTGTCAAATTACACGATCACCGCTAATTAGTAAAAAATCAACAGGGAGATTAAATCTTCCTGCAGGGTAAACATTCTCGATTTACAATGTATTTCACACCTTTAGATATTTCCGGATTTTGGATGTAAATTTGCATTGATTTGACTCTAATTTTACGAAAATATCGTCCGGAATTCAGAATTTAGAAGTTCCGGAATTCAGAAGTATTATATTAATAGAAAATAGAAGGGAAAAAATCGGGACCGAAAAAATTGTTCGGTTTTTAGAAGTTTCCGGATTTCAGAAGTTCCGGAATTCGGAAGTTACACTGTATGTATATATAATATAATAACAATAATAATCATAATATATAAAAAATATTGACATAGAATACTTTATCTTGATATATAATGATTTTCGTGGTAAGTAAATGATCAGCCTATTTTAGATATAAAATTTACGATTATTTTCAATATATGAATATAAATACTAATAATACATGTTGTTAAACTGTCTTGTAAGTTTGTTTGCTTAGTTTTCTTCTGTTATTATTTATCTTTCATAACTGCGTTTTATAAATGGTCGATTAGAATTTCAATCATGTTCGGAATAATTTTCTTTCGGTGTATACTCTATAAGAATCATTCCCCCTTCTTCATATGTTTGATTAGATCGTTTATATCCCATAATACATAGTTGTTAAAATAAAGCAGAAAACACAAAAAAGCAGACTGGATTGTGGAAATAAATGCCGAAAACTAGTATTATATGAAGCTTTATAGTTCGGCAAATGTGAGTATACCGAAAAGCAAGATATAAAGTCCGCGTTATTGTACTCTTAAATCGACGAATTAAGAGCTGTAGTCAGGTCGGTTTTCTCAAAGCAAAGACTATCATGGACATATATGTTATAAGAGCTAGAATATAATGTCCTAACAGCCGTATTCGCTGATTCATCTCTTTTAATTTGATGAACTCATCTCTTTTAATTTGATGAACTCATCTCTTTTTATTTGATGAACATGTACTTAAAAATATATATCGATCCTATTCCCCCCCCCCATAAATTTGCACAATGCAGAATTATTGTTGCACAATGCCTGTATTATTTCAACATTCCTATGTTACGGAATATACATATACGGTGATAATTATGTAATGCTAAATCTCAAATGCTTCATATATTTTCTTTTGTATAGATAACAATAGAACAATAACAGGTCGGTATCTATTTCCAGACCTGTTAAGCGGTCGGTAAATTGGGATGCAATACAACTTTTTTTCAAGGGTTCAGTTTTCTATTTTCCCCCCGATTTCTTTTTCAATTTTACTTAAGATGCAAATGAATTGGGAAATAAAGGTACTTATGCCCCCTTCCAAAATGTGATGGTACATTGCTTTGATTTGTCTGACGGTCGCTCGTATACTTAATGGTTTCAGTAACTAAACAACGCTAAAGCCTAGCAACTTTAATCTTGGTATAGGGATTGTGCATGACCAGTAGATAATCTCCATTGATTTTGGCGTCAAGGGGTCAAAGATCAAGGTCACATTTACTTTTTAGGTTAAAACGGTTTCCGATCAATAACTTAAGATTGTTTTTGCCTAGGAATTTCAAACTTGGTGTGGAAATTGGTATTGGCAAGTAAATGACACCTATTTTGGGTTCAAGTGGTCAAAGGTCATATTGACTCTGTAGGTAAAAAAGGTTTCCGATCAATAACTAAATAACGTTTTTGCATAGGAACTTTAAACTTGGTGTGGAAATTGGTATTTGCAAGTCGATGACCCCTATTTATTTTGGGTCAAGGGGTCAAAGGTCAAGGTCAAATAAACTTTGAAGTTAAAAACGGTTTCTGATCAATAACTTAAGAACGCTTAGGCCTAGGAACTACAAACTTGGTATGGTGATTGGCCTGGCCTTGGCAAGTAGATGACCAACCCATACTGATTTTGTGTCAAGAGGTAAAAGGTCAAGGTCATATTGACCTTGTAGGTAGAAACGGTTTTCCGATCAATAACTAAAGAACGCGTAAGCCTAGGAACTTCAAACTTGGCATGAAAATTGACCTTGGCAAGTAAATGACCGACCCGTCAAAGGGTCAAAGGTCAGGGTCATATTGACCTTGTAGGTAAAAACGGGTTTCCTATCAATAACTAAAGAACGCGTAAGTCTAGGAACTTCAAATTTGGCATGAAAAATGACCTTGGCAAGTGGATTACCCCTTTTGATTTTGGGGTCAATGGGTTAAATTTCATGGTCATATTGACCTTGAAGGAAAAACGGTTAATGAATTAGGAACGCTTAGGCCTAGGAACTTCAAAATTGGTATGGGAATAAGTCTTGCTTCCTATTGATCTCGGGGACAAGCGGTAAAGGTGAAGGTCATATTGACATCGAGGTAAAAGTGGTTTCCGATCAATAACTAAAGAATGCTTCGACCTAGAAACTTCTTCACGTATTTTTTGGACTAACTATGCTGACCAACGTTCATGTAAAAATTCCATTACCCTAACTAAATTATTTATGGGGCAACACTTATGATTCCGGGACGGACAGACGCATGTACGCACAGGCACTTGGACAAGTAAAAAGTATAACTACCCAACCCTCGATTTTTTATCTTCAAGTCAATAAATATTAATGTCGAAAATATTACGCACATATTTATGCTCCCCGGTGAGCAAATAGTCGCTGCTTTGTCCGTCTGTCCGTGCTATTTCAGAGAAGTAGGGGGCCATCTAACTGTAAACAGAGCAAAAGAGAACAATAGAGTGTATTCCATAACAATAGAATAAGGGACCATGGCCCTCAATTAAACAAAAATATAACAAAAAATGGCCTCTAAGTCGATTTGAGTAGCACGTCCGTCCGTCTGTCAGTCCGTCCTTCCAAATTTTCTTTTCTAGGACATAACTTTGAAACAACAAAAGGTATCAACATGAAACTTTGTAGGTAGATAGATTTCATTGAGTATGTGTGCAGTGCACGAGAACCGTAACTCTGCAGTGTTGCCTAATTTTTTAATTATTGTCCTTTGTTTATTTTGACACTTTGAACTTTTTTCAAGACATAACTCTAAAACTATAAGAGGTATCAACATGACACTTTGCAGATAGATTGATCTTATTGAGTAGGTTTGCAGTGCACAAGAACCGTAACACTGCCATGCTCCATTTTTGAATTATTGCCCTTTGTTTAATTTTACTCTTAGGATTTTGTCCGGGACATCACTCTAAAAGTATAAGAGATATCAACATAAAACTTTGTAGGTAGATATGTCTCATTGGGAAGAAGTGCAATGCTAAAGAACATTAACACTGTCTTGCCTTATTTTGAAGCCATTGCCCTTTGTTTATTTTTACTTTTTGACTTTTGTTCGGGACAAAACTCTTAATTTTTAGAGATATCAACATGAAACTTTGTATGTAGATAGATCTCATTGGATAGAACTGCAATGCTAAAGAACCTAAACACAGCCTTGTCTTATTTTTGAATTATTGCCCTTTATTTATTTTTACACTTTGAACTTTTTATGGGACATAACTCTAAAACTATAAGAGATATCAACATGAAACTTTGCAGATAGATATATCTTATTGAGTAGGTTTGCAGTGCACAAGAACCGTAACTCTGTCATGCCTAATTTTTGAATAATTGCCCTTTGTTTAATTTTATATATTGAACTTTATCCGGGAAATAACTCTAAAAGTATAAAAGATATCAATATGAAGAAACTTTTTGGTAGATCGATCCAATTGAGAAGAATTGTATTGTTAAAGTACCATAACTTTGTCTTGCCTAATTAATGAGTTATTGACCTCTGTTTATTTTTACTTTACGACTTTTGTCAGGGACAAAACTCTAAAATTATAAGAGATATCAACATGACACTTTGAAGGTAGATAGGTCTCATTGGGTAGATGTGCAGTTCTTACGAACCATAACTCTGCCTTGCCTTATTTTGAAGTTATTTCCCTTTGT